AATATTGGCTGAAAGTTAAGATGATTAGAAAGATGCTTACCTGTACTTTATGGACTGTGCAAAGACATTTGACTAGTGGAACATGGTAGTTATGGATAACATTGAGGGAAATGGGAGTTCCAGAATACTTCATTGTACTCATACAGAATCTGTACATTGACTGAGAAGTCTGAATAGAACAAGGAACATTATGTGATTTTAAATCAGGAAAGGTGTGTGTCAGGGTTGGATCCTTTCACCATACTTATTTAATCGCTATGTTGGGCAAATAATCCAAGAAGCTGGATTATATGAAGAAGAGCTTGACATCAGGATTGGAGGAACACATTAACAACCTCCACTAAGCAGATGACACAATCTTGTTTGCTCAAAGTGAAGGGGACATGAAGATGTCTACCGATGAAGATCAAAGATTACAGGCATCAGTGTGGATCGCACTAAAACACAAAGAAAATAAAAATGCTCACAACTGGACCAATAAGCAACATCATGATAAAAGAAAAAAATAGTAAAGTAGTCAAGGATTTCATTTTACTTGGGTCCACAATCAATGTCCATGGAAGCAACAATCAAGATACAAGTGGTGGTGGTGATTGTGTGCCACTGAGTCAGTTCTGACACATAGTGACCCTGTCTTTATAGGAGCAGAAAGCCACATCTTTCTCCCAGAGTGACTGGTATATTTGAACTGTTGACCTTGAGGCTAGCAGCCCAGCTCATAATCCATTATGTTACTAGGGCTCCTTATCACACAAGTGGTTGTTGTTGTTGCTAAGTGCCATTGAGTTGTTTCCACCTTACAGTGACCCTATAGGTTTCTGACAAGTGGCTAGTAAGTTTGAACCACTGACCTTTCGGTTCAACTCAAACTTTGTGGTCCAGTGCTTATCTTACAGCGCCACACCAGGATTTCTAACCTTACCATAAAAGTTGTTGTTGTTGTTGTTAGTTGGTACAACCTCATAGCAACCCTATGCACAACAGAATGAAATAGTGCTGGGTCCCGAGCCAAGCTCACAATTGTTGCCACACTTGAGCCCACTGATGCTGCCATTTTGCTCATCCATCTCGCTAGGGGACACAAGAGTGAGGACAAACTCAAAGCATTTTCAATTCCCTTACAGAAAGAGCCATTAAAGGATGAACTTCAGCCAGAAGAACAGTGAACTCAAGGATTTGGATTCAAGAAAAACAAAACAAACATAGTGAGCCAGAAGTTAATTAAATGCCAGTAAAAAAAGAAGGGCTTTTAAATGGATAAAGTATATAAAGAAAGGACTGCTAGATAGACAACTTTCATAAGAAAAATATTACAGCTATGTATGTACATGTAAAAATAAGACAATTCTGAGAAAAGATAGGTAACCTAATGCTCCCAAGCCAGCAGTGAGTATACTCCACTTTACTAATCCAAAAGAAAAAGGAATGGAGGAAAATGAAGAAACGAAAAAGGATCGGAAATGAAAAATACAAAATATGTCGAAAGAAGCCCAAATATATTCATATCACAATAAATGCACTGGACTGCTAAACACAAGGTCAGCAGTTCAAACCACAAACTGCTCCTCAGAGACTCGACAGCATTTAACAACAACAACATCAGAGACACAACTAAAACAAAACTCATATAAGGTTAGATCTAAAGAGATGAAAAGTATGTAACATACGAATAGCAGCCCCCCAAAAGGTAGCATATCAGTGTTGTTAGGTGTTGTCAAATCAGTTCCTACTCATAGCGACCATATGCATAATGAAACGAAACACTGCCCAGTGCTGGGCCATCCTCACAATTGTTATGCATGACCCCATTGCTGCCCCCACTGTGCCCAATCCATCTCGTTGGGGGTCTTTCACTTTTTCGCCGACCCTCCACTTTACCAAGCATGATGTCCTTCTCCAGGGATTGATCCCTCCTGACAATATGTCTGAAGTATGAGACGAAGTCTGTCCATCCTGGCTGCTAAGGAGCATTTTGGCTGTAATTCTTCCAACACAGATTTGTTTGTTCTTCTGGCTTTCCATGATACTTTTAACATTCTTCTCCAACACAAGAGTATATCAATATTAATATAAAAATGTGCAACTTAAGCAATTAGCATAAAAAATGTTAAGAGAGGCACTACATAGTAAGACTCAAGGCTGATTATAACACGGCATATACTTTGAGATAGTGTAGTGGTTATGAATCGGGCTGTGAACCGCAAGGTCAGCAGTTCAAAACTACCAGCTGCTCCATGGGAGAAAGATGAGGCTTTCTGCTCCCATAAAGATTTACAGCCTTGGAAACCCTATTCAGGGTCGCTGTGGGTCGGAACTGACTCGATGGCACTTAACAACAACAACAATATACTTTGAGAAACACCGCTTACTATGTGCCAGGGGTCATCTGTGCCTTCTTCACTGCTTTGTTTTCAGTGCTTGTCACCTAATAGGTGCTCCATAAATATTAATGAATGGAATGATTACCATATTATATTGAAATAATCTGCTTATGTGTTTGTCAATTAACTCCCCAAGGACAGGACTGCATCTTATTCATATTTATGTCACCATTCCTCAGCAAATTGCCTGGTACATAGTAGTAGTTGTTGTTAAGTGCCGTTCATTCGGTTCTGACTCATAGCGAGATACTAGTGGATTTGAACCACCAACCTTGCAGTTAGCAGTCCAGTGCTTATCCAGCACATAACAGACACTCTCTAAATCCAAGGTTCATCTCTCCTGCTAAAATAATTAGCCTTTGTTTCTACTTCTATAACACTTATAATTTGAACCATCTAATTTAGTCATTGATTTTATTTATAGTGCCACCTTTTCGTTTTCTCACACTTTCAGACTTTGTCTCTCCAACAAAATTTTGGATTCTTTGAAAAGATAGATGGTGCCTTTCCAGGTACTTGAATAAATACCTTTTTTGGTCAGTATCACCACTTAGCGATGAGTGATGCTGCTGGCTAATGCACTGGGCCACAAGATCAGTTTAAACCACAAAGCCAGCTGCTCCTCAGAAACCCTACACAGGGTCACTATGAGTTGGAATCAACTTCACAGCACTTAACAGCAATCGATTTTATCAAGGAGCTCTAGGGATGCTATAGAATAAGCACTGGACTGCTAACCAGGAGATAGGTGGTTCAAACCCACCAGCCACTCCAGGTGACAAATATGAGACTTTCTGCTTCAGAAAGTTTATAAGCCTAGGGAACCCTATACTGGGTCGCTCAGTGGGGCTGCCATGAGCTGGCATCAACTCAATGGCAGTGGGTTTTGGTTGATCGTATCAAGGAGTCCTGGTAACGCAGTAATTAAGTACTTGGCTGCTAACCAAAAAATTGGCAGTTCAAACCCAGCAGTGGCTCCGCATTCTGCTTCTATAAAGGCTTTGGTTGGTTGGTTATGTGCCGGGGAGTCTGTTCCAATTCACAGCAGCCCTGTGTAGGGTTTCCAGCTGATAGCTTTGAACTGCTGACCTTGAGTTTAGCAACCCAACTCATAACCACTACGCTACCAGAGCTCCTAAGCCATGAGGCAGTTCTACTCTGCTCTAGAGTGCCACTCTGAGTTGGAATGGACTCGAGGGCCATGGGTACCAGTATCCCATGCATCAGTGGTACCAGTATCCCATGCCAAGGTGGTATCTCCATTACCTCTTTTCCATTCTTGACTGTCTAAAACCTGTCTCTTGTGCAAAGATTGTGGGGAAAGTAATGGGAAGGGCCAGAGAAAGTGGTGTGTTATTCTCAACCTTCTTTGCTCACTTCCTTTTTGCAAAATGGTGAGAAGACAGTGCCTATGGAGTCACAACAGAGTGGGTAGTAGGGAAGTGAGAGGGAGACAGAGAAAAGGCATGGTCTACAGACTACTGGGGAGAAGCTGGCCCTGACCTTCTCACTGGCAGCATGGTGGCTGTTATGGTTAGTTGCCTGTCAAGTACATTCTGACTCATAGCGACCCCAGATGTGCAGAGTAGAATTGCTCCACTGTGTTTTCTGGACTGAGAGCTTTCCAAGGTGCCTCTGCATGGTTCTGACTGCCAACTATTCAGCTGGTAGTTCAGCACTTGATCATTTATGTGACCCAGGGATTCCTTGGGCAGTTAGTTCACTATATCACCAAGAGGAACCTCAAGACCAATTTCTTTTTAAAAAAGCTAAATGGAGCTTTTTTTAGAAGACAGGGTAGATCAATTCTCTTCATCTTTACATCTTCATTCGGGTCAAAAGACACACACGGGGAAACAATGACAAGGAGCTCCCAACTGGGAAGCAGCAGTAGGTTTGAACAAAAGGCATGGGTAACATCTCCTTTCTGGTGGTCTTCCTGAGTAACAGACCACATTCTGGGGAGGTTCAATGGGGGCTCTGGGTTGAAGAAGGGAGATGATGGGCTGGCTGACCTCCCAAGGTCCTTTCTAATCCCATAATTACATAGTGGAGCGAGCTCTTCCCCATTCATGCTCCTACGCACGCCTGCATCCAGTTTGATAGTAAATCCCCTGGGCTGCCTTCCAGGGTGAGTACGGTGCTACGCAAGCTGTTGGCACTCAACAAATGACTCAAATATTTGAATGAAGGAATAAATGAATCCTAGTGTTTAAACAGAACCACAAGACCAGCTGTAAAGTACGGCAAGGAATGAAATCATAACATTCCAGGCACGATCGCTCCAGCAGAGCTGGCAATGGAAAGCACACACATACACACACACACACACACACACACACACATACACACACAAGCCACCCAGCTCACATTTCCACCTGGGGAAAAGCACAAGACCACCTGCTCAGCACGCAGGTGGGACGAGATGTGTTGGTAAGGTGCCCTCTCTTCTGCTGCTTTAGGATGTACCTCCAGAAGGTCAAGTCACCCAGCTTTAGGACCGCTTTCCTGCCCGGCTGGCCTCCAAGGCAAAGTTTTTGCCCAGATTCAGTCCCGGCTTCCTCCCAGAACCCGAACGTCCCGAGCGCGTAGCTCGCCGGCCCTCAGCGCCGCCCTTACCTTGGTGAGCTGGGCGATCTTCTTGCACATTTTCACGTGGATCTCCGGATCCCCGTCCATTCTCCAGCCGGCACTCCCGCGGGCATCGGCTTTGGAGCCCGAGCAAGTCCCAGGCGGGTGCATTTTGCTATTGAGCGCAGAAGCCATCATTGGAAACGCGGCCAGCCGTCAGAGAGGCGCGGGCTCGGGTTCTCCCGGCCCCCAGTATTCGCGGACGTGCGCGCGCGGGCGTGTGAGCCCCTGAGCTTCCCCGGGAGAGGTGGCACTGCAGTCCCACCGCTCGCCGCGCCGCGTTGCCCCTGTCCTTGGAGGGGTCCGCCTCCCCGGCGCGCGGACTCCGCGGGAACCCGCACCTTGTGGCGGAGCACTGGCGATAAGCCCGTGCCTCTCTCAGTGGGCGCGCGGCTCCCCAGCGATTGCGGGCTTCGCCTCTTACGGTGAAGCCTGCGTAGCGAGCAGTCCCTGGTCCTTCCCTCCCGGCCACGTGGATGGCGCAGGACTCCACCAGCCTAGAGCGGCCGTGGCGCGCGGTCCGGAGAGTGACGCCTGGCATGCGCGGGGCCGACGGGTGGCCAGGGCTGGGGCACCCTGCCCGGTTCGCTCAGCTAGACGTAGCTCCAGAGCCACAGAGCAGAGCGCGGGGGCGGGTGGAGGGGTGGGGGAAGGGGAGCGGGAGGGAGGCCCAGAGGGATGCGGAGAAGTGAGAACAGAACGGTCGCAGGAGGCCAGGAGATGCGGTATTTGGGGCGCACAGGGTGGGCCTGGCTCGGGGTGCGGGAGCGCCCCTCCGCCCATTTTGGGGAGGAGCCGGAACGTTGCGGGGAGGATTGCTGGCGGTCACTGAACAAAGGGAAGAAGCTAGCAGGCCTGCGGGGGGCGGGCGTCATTAGGGACGTGAAACTCAACAGAGAGAAGAGAGGAGTCAGCTAAAGGGGAACTGAGGAGGAGTTGAGCAACCGAGTTCACAGTCTTAAATCAACCCGGCCCAGTGCAAGTGAAGGAACTTGTTCAAATCCACACTGCGGCTGTAAGGACTGACTGGAGCCAGAATCCTGTGTCTCGGGTTCCGAGCCTTTTTCGTTTGCTTGGTTCGAGGAGGGGTTGTTGTTGTTTGTTGTTAAATGCCGTCGAGTCGTTTCTGACTGAGAGCGACCCTGTACAGGGTTTCCGAGGAGCGGCTGTTGAGTTTGAACCGATGACCTTGCAGTCCCGCGCATTAACCCGCAGCGCCACACCAGGACCGAATATCTTTGCAGCTTGTTTTCTCTGGTTTCAAACAGTAGACTTTGGGGAAGTTAACAGCAGCATCCAGATGAGAGTTTCCCAAAGCGTGGATCAGTCACAGGGTTGTGGGTTATAACCCAGTTTGCATGGATACTGTATTTCCTTTTACAAACTGCCTTATATCGAATTGGGTGTTTTCTTCTTCTTTTTTACTTTTTATTGTGAATCGGGTAAAGGGTTTACAATGCAAATCATCAGTTTTATAATTCATAGAGATGGTTTCATTTCGGTGATTACAATGCCCTCCATGTCTCATATGGTAATAGTGGTGGTGTGCCAACATGTCGGTTCCGACTCATCGCGACCCTGTATAGGGTTTCCGAGGTTGTAATCTTTACAGGAGCAGAAAGTCTCATCTTTCTCCTGTAGATCCTAACTACTGACCTTTCGGTTAGCAGTCCAGTTTGTAATCCACTACATGCTACCGTCAAGTCGGTTCCGAACCATAGTGACCCTGTATAGGGTTTCCGAGGAGTGAGCTTGAACTGGTGAGCTTGAACTGCCAACCTTGCAGTTCAAACGGTTTTGCAGTCTGGCGCATTAATTAACCCACAGCGCCACACCAGGACTCCATGCCTTATATAGAGTTTTAATAATCATGATAAAGCCATCAAGCTTCAGCCATCCCTCCACACCTGACGTACCTGCGCCCATTTTTATAGATGAAAAAATAAACTCAGGAAAAGTATACCAAGGTAATAAGCGTTGCATCTGAAATAGATGCTTCTTATTAAGTACTGTACAGTTGGTTCTGACTCATAGTGACCCTGTATAGAGTTTCCAAGGAGCGGCTGGTGGGTTTGAGCTGCTGACCTTGCTGTTAGTATTCCAGTGCTTTATCCTACAGCGCCACACCATCCAAAACAGATAGATACTAGGGTAAGTCAAAAAGAATTGCTACAAAATCACTGTTAAGTGCTGTCTAATCAGTTCCAACTCACAGCAACCTTTTATAGGGTTTCCGAGAAACAGCTGGTGGGTTTGATCCGCCAACCTTGAGGTTTAAACTGAACTTGCAGTCCAGTGCTTATCCTATAGCACTATACCAGAACTCCACAGGGGAGGGCAATATACAAGAAGTTGTTGTTGTTAAGTGCCATTGCGTTGTCTGACTCACAGCAACCTGTATAGTGTTTCCGAGGAGCAGATGGTGAGTTTGAACTGTTAACTTTGTGGTTCAAACCAACCTTTTGATCCAGGACTTATCCTACAGCACCACACCAGGACTCCATACAAGAAGGGGTAGGGCAGTATACGAGAGGGAAATTGGCAGAAGAATGATGAAGACAGGTGAAGACACAAGGAGGTATGCAAGGGCTAAAGGTGAAAGAGGTGAATAGTGATCTATACACAATTTTGGAACAACAGTGTTCTGTGTGTAGATATAGAGACAGAGACAGAGTCTAAATGGGTATGGGAGGAAGAGTGGGATATATATATATATATATATATATATATATATATACACTCATTAAAAACATATAAACATATTTATCTATTCCACAAATATGTAAGAGTTTGAAAGAGGATATTTGTACATGGGCTTTGGAGTCCTGGTGTGGTGCTGTAGGCTTAATGCGTCAGACTGCAAAGTTGTTTGAACAGCAAGGTCGGTGGTTCAAGCTCACCAGCTGCTCCTTGGAAACCCTATAGAGGGTCACTATGGGTTGGAATCGACTCAACGGCACTTGACAACAACAACAACCACAGGGAGTCCTGGTGTGGTGCTGTAGGATAAGCACTGGAGCACAAGGTCTGTTTGAACCCCAAGGTCAGCAGTCCAAACTCACAAGTGGCTCCTTGGAAACTCCAGACAGGGTCTCTATGAGTCCAAGCCGACTCCACGATGGCACTTAACAACAAAACAACCACAGGGTGATTGTTGTTGCATTAAGGGGATGGCAATCATTGAGATGAAACAAAGCATAGGATTTGTTGACTGTAGAACTGATGATCTTGTCTCTAAACTTGCACTCAATTTACAATGAAAAACCAGAGAACAGCCAACCCCACTTTCAGTTTCCAGTTTAAGTTTCGGTTAGTTACTCTCTCCAGGACAACCATCCTCTACCTCAGTGGATTTAGAAAACAGAATGCCTCCTTTCTGAGTCACTGCCAAGAGCTTTATGCAGATTTGGGGTATCTGGAGGTACAGGTTTAGGAACCCACATTTTAAACAATCTGCCTTGTGTCATTCCAAGTGGCACATTAAAAGAGTGTTTTATTGTGGAGGGAGTGCTCCAACACGATGGATGGGCACAGTGGCATCAGCAATGCGCTCAAGTGTAACAACAATTGTGAGCATGGTGCAAGACCAGGCAGTGTTTCCTTCTGCTGTGCATAAGGAACCAACTCAACGGCACCTAACAGCAACAAGGATAAGCACTGGACTGCTAACCACAGGCTGCTGGTTATAACCCATCAGCCGCTCCTTGAAAACCCTACACAGGATTAATATGAGCCCGAACTGACTTGATGGCACTTAACAATAACAACAACAATAATATACACTAGGAATGTTGTGACTCTGTAGTATAAGCACTGGACTGCTAACCACAAGGTCAGTGGTTTGAGTCCACTCTGAGGAAGAAGGATGAGGCTTTCTGTTCCCATAAAGATTTACAGTCTCAGAAACCCTATACAGGGTCACCAAGTCAGAACTGATTCAATGACCCTTAACAACAACAACAATATACACTAAGGAACACTGGTGTATTGAAGGATAAGTAACTGGACTGCAAGCCACAAATCCACCAGTTGCCCCTCAGGAGAAAAATCAGGCTTTCTGCTTCCGTAAAGATGTGCAGCCTTAGAGACCTCATGCCGGATAACTATGAGTTGGAACACCACCAGTATACACTGACTTTTCCAGGAATTCAACCATAGTGTAAACTAGACGAGTATTAGCTTTTTTGGTTCAGAATTTTACCAAAAGTTGTTCACTGTTTCAGAAAAATCACACCATCAATGACCATGTATTTGATTGTCAGTCTTCTTATATTGAACTGTGCCTCATCAGCAAAAGAAGGTCCCGGAAACTGTACCATCCACACAATTAAGGCTAACTCTTCTTTAAAGAGGCAGCTCTCCCCCAATCATAGTTTGAGTGTCTTCCAACTTGAGGGGCTCATCTTCCGGCATATATCAGACACTGTGGCGTGCTAGTCCTAAGGTTTTCAGTGGCTAACTTTAAAGAAGTGGTCTGCCTCTCCTTCTTCAGAGTTTGACTTGGTCTGGAAGCTCTGTAGAAGGGCGGGGATTGGACTCAGGAGAGCTTGGGTGATAGGGAGGGGGCAATATACGGGGAGGAAGAGGGAAGTGGAGAAACGGGGCAGATGGGAGAACAATTGGGCATGTTTGAATGGGCCAAATGGGACAGAGATAAAGGACGATATAGGTGCACAGCCTTGGAACTCCAGGGCTCTGAGATACAGGGATTGACCCATGGTTGGAATGGGCGGGGAATTGTGTTAAGATGCTTGACTGTTTTTGGAATCT